AACAACCATACTTTCTAAGGTTACACAGCTTTAAACAAAAAAATTGGAAAAATGTGCTGAAAAAAAAAAAAAAAGTCCTTTCTCACAACCGAAACCATCACCCCACACTTTGTGTCACAATAAAATGTGAAACATGATCAAATTAATCGGAAAGTTTCACGCTCTCTATTCAAAACTCATTAATACAATTTTCTCTTTACCCTTTTAATCAAATATGATTCAATCTTTCCTAAAAACGTATATTTCTAAATAACCTTTTTGCTTCCTCTGCTAAATCACATAAGGAAAATCATCTGCCGATTACCTTATAATCCTAAATCATAATGAATTTCTTGTAGCAAAAATGACATGTTAGGAAGATATATGAAAAAATTCATTGTGTTCAACACATGACCATAAAGTAAAATATGCAATTACCAACAATTTGATTAGAAATATATATATATGATTGAGTTATTTATTTATTTATTTAGTATAAAGACAGTTGAATCAATTTGATTAATGCATCTTGGTATGTTGATTTTTTTTTTCTAATAGAAAAATAGCCCCTTTTTAAAGTACTGAATGACTTTTTTGTCTTGTAAGGAGAGAAAGTGGGCAGTTTACTCCATAAGCTGTGAATTTGTAAAACTACATTTTAATACCCCATGATGTACAACAAACGTACCTGAGAAAACGCTTTGTTAGGCGCTTTAAGGAAAGCCAACAAGTTTTATATATGCACTATTTTCAGTTAATATATTAGCATTTTAGCTCTGTGTGAAAAAATACATACCGTATAAATAAATTTAGGAGGAATATAAGATTATTATATTGTGTCCCACTCCACTTCATACTGACATGCAGGCTGTACTGGGGCTCATAAATTCAGAAGTTAAAGTTTTCATTAAAAAAAATTATAAAAAGGCTCCAAATTATGTATTTGGTTTTAATACTGTTTGGATTTCTTTAAAGATTTGGTTGAATATAAAAGAAGTGGGAGCTTTGAGTCCTGAATGAGATCATTAAAAGCTGCAGCATTCACACTAAATGATGCATTGGTAAAGTAACACTCAAGAATATATTTGGTCCCACTCTGAATTAGTGTGGGACCAAATGTACTCTCAAAGTGTTACTTTAACACTGCAACATTTACTGTGTTGCTACTTAAATCTAGTTTAGACCCGTGTTTTCAGTGGAGGATGGAACTTTTCATTTGTGTGTCCCGAGTCCGTAACATCATCAATGACCCCTCACATCCCCACCATGGACTGTTCTCCCTGCTGCCCTCCGAGAAGAGGTTTTGCAGCCTTTGATGCAGGACCTGCAGGTTCTGCAACAGCTATTTGCCCACTGCCAGAAGACTGTTTAACTGTTAAAACTCCAATCAAGTCCAAAATGAGAATACACTCGTTAACATCATATTTGCACTACGTGGCAAATTTTCAAATCCCTTTAAACAGAACTCAAACAGAATTATTATTATTGACTATTATAAAGGAAAATAACTGTATTTGATTGTATTTATAGTCTTACGTTGACACTGCTCAAATTAAAGCTGACCATTTTAATTCTATATATATTAATTCTTTATATTATATTCTTTCTATTAATTAATTATATTTTAAGAGAATTTGAGTTGGACTATAGTTGGACAGTGACTATCCTGTGTTTTTCCATTTTAACTGTTTTTATTTATATATTTATATATATATATATATATATATATATATATATATATATATATATATATATAGAGAGAGAGAGAGAGAGAGAGAGAGAGAGAGAATATAATCTGACAAATTTGATATTTTTTTAAAGCCCCCAATATCAAATCGGTGGAAGCAAAATCTGACGGAAGGTAAACTGTACCTTTGGCTTGAGGGGTGTTACTGGGGTGAGAATAGAGGTTTGTTTCTTTATCAAAGTGATGGAGTAGCTGTCTGACCCACAGCACAGAGAAAGATTTACAGGCTTCATATACTCCGGTCTCTACTTGTAGTGTGCTGGGCATGTGTAGCTACTTTACCAGGGCCACATAAGCTTGGGAGTGGGCGGAAAATGCTTGGTTTTTCATTGCATTTTACATCCTTAAAGAAAAATCAATGATATTAATACATAAATTTTAAGATATTTCCACTACTTTGATCTTAAAATAAAACCCAGAATCCTTAATGTTCGAAATTAGACGGAGTATATAAAAGGTCGAGTCTGAGACCAGACCATGAAAAGTTTTCTCAACTCTGCAACCAGTGATTATTTTGATAATCGATTAATCTGTCACTTTATTTTTTTAAATCATTTAATAATCAGACAGTGCAAGGTTCCATAGAGAAAATTTGATACAGAATTAAACCAGGTGAAACTAAATTTGTTTGACTTGTAGAGTTCTGGAGAGGGCATAGTGAAACGGGAAAGAGGGTTTTTTTTTCTCATCTTAAATGCAAAATATTTATACATTTTTCACAATTTAGGTATAATTACTGCTCTAAGTGGGTCGGTCTGTCAGGTAGTAGGTCAACCACTATTTGGAACTTAAGATGCCTTACTTTAAGCTTCCATCGTAACAGTATAGGATCAAAGTTATCTGTAACCTTGGATCGGCAGCTAACTTAATATACGAAATAATGCGCAATTCACCTGTTTTTTTGTTTTTATGAGCGTGTTTTTTTTTTTTTTATGAGCATCCCTGATAAATTTGGTCAAACCGCCATGTATAAAATCTTTAAAACAGCCTCTTTTTTTTTTTTGAGGCTTTATGACTAAAACCTCCATTGATGAGCAGACTGGAACCTCAGTAGCTCAGAGCAAATACACCTATAAGCCTGCAGCCTAGTTTCCTTAATGTACTTCAGGTCTGAAGCTCCTGTTCTGTTCTGCAGATGTGACAGCAAGCGCGTCAATGTTAAATGGATCCAACTTAGCAAACAATTGAGGGGTTATATTCAAGATGGATTTTGTGGACACTCAAAAGCGACCAGGATGTAGCTTAATTCACACTACAAAAAAATGTAGAAATAAGTGAATATTTCTTAAATTAAGTGTTCAGTAGCTAAATAAGATGATATGCAAATAGAATGAGTATTTTTACTTATAAAGTGTGATAATTAGATAATCTGCAATTGTTGTTGTTTTTTCTTATTTTAAATGTAAATTGTCTTGTTCCAATTTCTAGAAAAATGCACGTATTTTAAGAAAAATTACTTATTTAGAACTATTAACTAACTACTAACAAAAGCGACCAGAGTGACTGTTAACAAGCCTGTTTTCCATCACTCCACTTTAATATACAAGCACATCTTGAAACTACATTTTGGTATCATAACGGAAGTGATACATATTAGTCCAGTCCTTATTTCTAAATAAAAATAATTTAACCATCTTATGTTTACTAGATTTTATTTATTTTACACACAGGACTTTGTCATCGAAATGCCAGCTATGCCTTCTTGTCATCATATTTTTATCTATTGGTCAGAACATAATGAAATCTGTACCAGTACACGTAGGAGTCATGTTTCACGTTGCAAACACCTGAGATGGATGTTTACTCCCTGGTTAGCCACCTGTACCTGGTAAGTGTGAGCTTCTTCAAGGAACAATTGCTCAACATGCTTGCAAACAGAAACGTGACAGAGGGCTTATGAGCCAAAACTGGTTCTTCAGCATGCCACTGTGTGTTTTTCCATTGCATTAAGTCATATGGTAATGTTCTTTTTGTTAAAAAAAAAAAACAGATGATGAGACTCCAGGATGTTTTCCCAGATTAACATCCTGTAGATCCATCATTGCTGTCATTTTTTTTTAAAGAAACTGCTCTGAACTCTTCAGAACAGGAGCAAACTGACCCACTTTGGTTGGATATAAAAGCAGTGTCAGCTTTTTGAGTCCTGAATGAGTTCATTAAAAGATAAAATCCTTCACCACAAACAATAAAGGTTGAGCAATAGGAGTCTTCTCTCAATCCACAACAAAACATGATTGTCCACTTTAAAAAAAAAGGTACTGAACAGCATTAATGTTTAAGTGAAAGGCAGAATAATTCACCCAATCATCTTTTAGTGGGCCCTGACATAAGTTAAACACATGATGTAAACCTAAATATTAAACTCTACAACAAATAGGAGATATATTCTGAGATAATATGAATAGTACTTTTTATATTACTTGAACATGTATTTTTATATGTTCTTACAAAAAATGTGACAGAATTTTAATCTATATTGAGATGGGAATGGAAATAACTACACATCTCAACAAGTTGCATATAGCTGCACTGAATAGCAGTGGTGGTACCTTTTTTTTACGGTAATTCTTACCGTAAAAATATATTTCTTAATGTATAAATGGCTTAATATGAACAAGTGACAGTTTCTACTAATTTGTGTCATAGAAATACCTTTTGGCAGGGTCTTATTATACCTCAATGTCCTGTTATGTTCCTATAAAATGTTCAGATAAGCAGGTAACTTCAGGAATAAGTATAAAACGGATGTTTTATGGCGTATAGTTTTATTTTTTTAAAACAAAAACGGATAATAGGGCGTTAATAAACGCATTATGCGCGTTTAAGGCCGTTTTAGTGAGAAATCTGCGCGAAACTGCTTCAGTATGCTTAATATAATTCACTGTTAAACGTGAATAATAACTAACAATGTTTCCTACCAAATACCAAAACGCGTTAACGTTGAATTCACAAACACGCGTTACGCACGTTTCTCATTTTTTGAGTAAAAACGCACCAAAAGGCGACAAAGCGCGACTATAGAAGTCGTAGCACGGATGAAAATAACTTGTTTTTGTATCATTATTAATATGTTTCTAGTAGATGTTTTAAAACTTGAGGTTAAACGTGGTTAACCTGACTGGGCCTACCTGGTTTCACCTGAGCGCCAGGTGGAGCCTCTATTTCATTTCCGGCCCGAGTAGCTACTGCTGCAAAAACAGCAGCTCCACATAAATAATAACAATGGGAATAGTTTCAGGACATAAGAGTGAAAAATTAAAAAAAAGGTACTCACCTTTAAGAGGATATTCCGTCCAAACAGAAAGCGACAATATCCGTTAAAGTTTTAAAAAGCTGATAATCCGAAGGACTATGAATAAATGTGCGTCAAGGCGCAGAAATAGAGAGACGCTGGAAAAGTATACCACCAGTCCGGGAGGGGGGAAAAAAATAATAAATAAATAAGAAGTGTTGTTTTACAGCGCCCAAACTCTCGTGTGACTTCCACTTCGGACGGGTCCCTGTCGGATCAGCTGTGATATTTGTCCCTTAGTGGGGAGAAAAAGCAGCAGCTGCTTTGGTTTTGGGGAACTGACTGCTCACTCCGTCGACTTCGGCACCTGAAATACTGGATTAGAGATGTTTTCAGAGCCGAGTTGTCAAACCCCGCCTCTTTCACAACACGGTTCTCTCTGCAGTCTGCCTGCCTGCCTGCCTGCCATGCTGCTGCGCACCGCTGCCACTGCAGGCTGGGGCGCACACACTCACACACACTGGCAGCATTTCTAATGTTGCTTTACAGCTTTATGGGCAGTTTGCGTCCCTTTGCTGCAAAGCGTAGAGCTCTGCAACCTGTTTCATTTGCGTGTTATCATGGGCGGTTCTAGACAGGGGCCAACGGGGGCCAGTGTCCCTGTAGATCATATCCTGGCCCTTGTACTGAAGACATAATACTCAAAGAAATTCTAATGATGATATGCGCTGGAACAGACATGGTTTTTTCTTTGCAAATTATGTGTTATTATTCAAAACAATAAGATGATAGCTTCAGTGGTATTGAGATAGGATCCAAGTTTTCATCTGCTAAATATATATATATTTTTTATTAAAAACAGCTGACAGTTTTTCTTGCGTTCCAATTCAGATTTGATAGAAAATGGTTATTTTAATTGAAATTAAGTCAAAAATATGTAAAATTCCTAAATTCTGAATGTATATTGACCTAATAAGACATAGAAATTTAATTAAACCTAATTGAATAAACATAAAAAAAACACTTCATGCTTATTTCATGATTTTCTGGGCCACAGCTGGAGATAGGCACCAGCACCCCTCGCGACCCCAATTGGGACAGCGTGTCAGATAATGGATGGATGGATTTTCTGGGCCCCTATGAAAACACTGAAGCCCCCTCCTGGCTCCCTGGTACATTTGGTGTAGAACCGCCATTGTTTGTTATCAAACCTCATGTTAACAGCCTGAACTTTTATTTTTTTCCTTTATTTTCTCACGTTACAACCAGGGGAGTCAGCTGACCCAATACTATACAGGGGCACAAAAAGAATTTTGGGGGGCAATTATTTATTTATAAAAAGCATGAACACGCTAGCAAATATTTTATAGCACTTATTTATTATTATAAAGCGTCGTAAATAAATTGTACAGTCAGATTGTTATTTTTCTGCATCGTTAAATATCTACCTGAACCAAACAGAATTGAATTGGCCCCCTTGTAAACTTAACTGTACATCTCTAATCCACTACTGATGAAGGCACAATTTATCTTCATTAAGTATCTGTCAGCAAACATGAACTTGATAACTTGAAATGTGCAACTGTAAAAGGAAAAAACAAAAAAAAAACCTCTACATACATACATGTCTGTGTTTATCATTTCTATTTGGGCCCATCCTATGATGGTGTGATGGTGATGATCCTATGAGGTGTGTATATCATGGATATAAATTTTTTTTAACAGTAAACGTTGGGTCCCGGGCCGGCTTCATTTTTGCGAAGATGTCGATCAATTGTGACTGGCTTATTTTGGAGAGATCTCCTCCCTCAACTCCGCTGTAAGAGCTGACCTGTGAAAGCAGAAAATTAATTCTTCAAAAAAATCAGTGCCCCAGGCATACCCAGGCACAGCAGTTCCACAACGGGGCACGTGCCCCTGTGAAAAGGGTCTGCCGACGCCGATGGTTGCAACCAATAACTTAAATGATTTTAATTAAGGAAAAAAAAAAAAAAACGACCCAAAGTGAGGCACTACTGTGAAGATGAAATAATTCCAGATCCGTTGTTTTATTATTATTGAAATCTGAAAAGTGTGGTATGCATATTTTTTCTGACCCTTCCAGAAAATTTCCTGCTAGTTGCTGCAGAGACAGCTATTAATTAATTCACCTCAATTTGGCTTAATGAAAACAACAGATTTCAATTTTTATTTGTAAAAAGATAATTTTCCCTCCTCTCCAAAATTAACTATTTTGCATTGGGGTATGTACAGCAACCCATACCATCAAAAAAGAGCTAAGGATCCCTTTAAAAGAAACCATTAAGAGAGATTTTTGCTTTAATAGTTGATGATTACAAAAACCCCATCCAGCCTATTGACAATCATGCATCCATAACACTTTGGCATTTGAAGGATGCTTTCGTGCTGCAGTGTATTGGCCTAGATTAAAACATGCTTTTTGGGGTGTTAAATGTTTACCTGCATGGTTACACACCAACAATGTGTTGACAGCTCTGACACAGACGATAATTATTACAGTCATGTAAGGCTCTTGTATCCAAGCACCATCTGCCTGATCCTGTTACATAAAGAAAGAAACTGGAAGGAGAACGCAATTAAAGCATCTCTAGCCCCCTCCTTTTAAGCAACGAAATAAATCCAGGTCATGTATGGCTTAAACTGGTCACGTCTTTTTTTTTGTTTTTGTTTTTTATTCAAAACATATTAAGTATATCAAGTAGTTTGAAATGCTGCCAAAGCAAAGAGAGGCCACTCATCATGTGGGGTTATTAAAACATCGATGGTGCAGAGTTTGAATGTCAAGTGTCCGTGTGGCTTATCCTGCTTTCAAGTGCTTGCTGAATACTGCATTATAATCTTAACATCAGCAAGTCAGCATGACTAATTCTATGTGCAAGTGTGCACAGTCAGAGCACATGCATGATTTTAAAAAGTAATTAATGCTTAAGGAAATTAAAATGACCTTCAAATGGACTAGAAAACTTTGAATGAAGTGCATGCAACTGCCTTCATTAGAAGTGTTAAGCGAGAAATGAAAGCCTTCAGTTTTTCTCCTTTGGAGGTGTTTCTTGGTGTGCCCCAATATAGCTGAAAACTTATAGTACGCTCAAGGGGCTTTCAGAGAGGCACTGGTGTTTCCCTCCTCAACCTATTGCCACCATGATAGGACCTCAGGTATAAATAGATACAGTGATGATTGGAAGTGTTGAGTTTTGTTACGTACTTCACAACCTCCGGTTACTTTTAAGCACCAGAAAGGAGAACTGAATTTAAAAGCATTCAAAGTACAAAGTTAAAATTTAAGAGATTTTCTGTAGAATCTGGAAAGGTAGTGCCCTTTATCACAACTCCATCCATCTCCTTTATTACTGGACAAACCCAGAAAACTATTGGATAACCTTGATGCATGCCTCATGACCTTGCTAAGTGGGAACAGGATATGAATCACAGCTACATGTCTAACATTTTGGATACAAACAGTTGAGATGACTCTCCTATCTTTACCAGGGGTAGTTAAGAGTAGCTTTTATTCAATTCAATTAAATTCAGTTTGTTTATGTAGCTCCAATTCACAACTCGTCACTTTACAGTTCAACTAGATGATACAGTTAAATTGTTTCAAAGTTTTCTATCTAAGGAAAACCAGTTGATTGCATCGACTCATTGACTCGAATGCGATCCTTCACACTAAGCATGCTTGTAGTGACAGTGGAGAGGAAAAACTCCCTTTTAACAGGAAGAAACCTCCAGCAGAACCAGACTCAGTGTGAGCGGCCATCTGTTCTATTCTTTTCATAGAAAGTATGAAAGCTATATGGTTCTTCCTTCTGATCAGGATAACTTCTGTGCACCTTCCTCTGAAGGTCTTATTGTATGTCCTACTCCAAGGGAACGCCCAGGGCACACTGAGAGCTCACTAGAGGAATATCCATCCTGACCTTGGAAAGCAAGGAGTTCTATGCACTGATCTGCTACGCCTTTGTTTCCTGTCTATCTGTACTGGATGAACTAATTAATCTAGGTGTGCCTGGCCTCAGAAACCATGACGACAATTACACGATTAATCAGTTCATCCAGTAGAGAATGACAGGAAAACAATGGAGCTGGAGATGTGCATAGATCACATTGGGTTTTCTGGTAGTCTAACCATGGATGGTTCTAGAGAGGAGCCAAGAGGGGCCAGTGCCCCTGTTATGGTGAAGGTACTATAAACATTCACTACATAACTGAAATACATGAGTAGTTTATTTTTCTTAAAATAAGTGTATTTTCCCTTGATTTAAGCTGATTTAAGCAAAGAAGTTAGATCATTTGTCATGTTAACAATAATACACTTATTTTAAGAAATGTTACTTTTTTACATCAGTTTTTCTCTTGTGAAACTCAATGAATGTATATTGATTATATGTCCTGAGAGAAGACACTGTAACTGATTTGTCCCTTGGACCATTTAATATATATTTTTTCACCTTTACAATTCACTTTAACAATTATTTTGAAATTGCATTTAGCTTAAATCATCGGTCGTACCAAGATAGGATCACAATTTTCTTCTTTTTTTTTCCAGCCTAGGTTGTGCTGACAAATCTATTTAGCGGTTTTATTAATGGCTTAAATCTGATTTAAACAACAAAAAATAAAACAACAATTAACCATTACTTAAATGAATACTGCATAACATTTCAATGTACACCACTTCACACGCATCGGAGCTCAACGCTGCCCATCTAAAAAACTAATTTATATAACATCAGAGGGTCATCTGTCATAGAATGAGTCATGTGACCCAGAGCTGTGCTTTACGTAGCCTCAGCTCCCCTCAAACACCAGAGCTAACTGAGCTTAGAGTTGTTGTTAGGCAACAAAACAGAGATGACACTCACCTGATTAGACATATTTTTGCTTCTCTGATATAGGATTTAATCTAGAGGGTTGAATGTTGCCTTGTCCTAAAAAGTAGCTCCAACTCCCAAATTGTTCTGCTATCAGGTTTCAAAACACTGAGGGAGACTGTTTAATTGTGTGACAATGTGCTTGTGTCAGTGGCCTTCAGGGGCCTCAGTGCCCAAAGTTGTTAAAAGTTACAGTGTTCCTTTAATTCAACACTTTTTTTTATATAATTTAAGAGTAAATATCTTTGCAAATATATTCAAATAGTATATTTCACCACTCAAAAGGCAACAAGTATAAAAAACATTTTAAAGGTAGAGGAAATACTCCTTAAGCAAAGCTTTGTATTATTAATTACATAAAGGGGAGGTCTGTTGGAGGTATAATCGAATAATAATGTGCGGCAATTGTTTTAATCATCGACTCACGTTGAACAAGATTTTAAAAAGTAATCTCTACTTTCCTAATA